TACACCTCTTAAAAATATCCAATCGTTCATCATCTATTTAAAACTTATTAAACATACATTTTTTTATTTGTATTTATTTATTATTGGGTTTATTTTTGTTTATTTGTATATAATTTTTAGATTATTTTATTTTTCTCCACAATAATAACAAATAAAAAATAAATACACCTTAGCAGAGAGGCAGGTGGCAAAGGAAAAAATATAAATTTATGTTCTACACGTGTTTTTTTGGGAAAAAAAATCAACCATAAAATCAAAAACTAAGTACAAGTGATTGAAATGTCGAAAGTTTTTGACAGGCCACCACCACTGCCACTATACCAAAGATCTCTTATAGAAAAAATACACACCTAAGTAGCTGCCATTTACTCACATTAATTTCATTACTGTAAATTAAGTAACGTTAAAAATACGAAAAATCTCTTGAAATCTCAAGGAAAATTCCCTTAAAAATATGTTGCTCTTTAATTAGATTCACACAAACAAAAATAAGATTTTAATTAAACAAACGAAAGAAGGAAAGAAAGAAGAAAAGAAATAAATAAATGATTCAATTAAAATGCTTTTCACATTAAAATTGAAAATTAAACAATTAGAGCTGATTTTCTTTGCAGTTCTTTGGAAATATTTCTCTGTTTTGTAAGAGATTAAGTGGATTTTGTGTGGCTGAGGTTCACTGTTGCCAATTTAGCTATTTTCTCGTCAAATCTAGCGATTTTTAATCCCATTTTGCGGGGAAAATATGATTTAGCTATTAGCGGGAAATCTAGCGATTTTTCTTTAGATTTTAAGGCATTTTTTATTCATTTATATTTTGATAATATCGCTTAAAAGTTGCTACGAATGACGATTTACATATATGTATGTATATAAAAATATGCATTCAATGTAAATTATTTGAGTTTTAGCTGTGTGTATTTATACTTATTTTGAATGTTCTGAAGAACATAATTAGGAGCAAATATTTGTGCGTACAGGTAAAGTTATACGAAAACTTTAAAAGGGGTATATTTTGTTGTACTCAATTAAAAAACGAATATTTAATTATTCTAGTCTTTTAGTAAATGAGTGATATGATAATAAAATTTACCATAATTCTAAAAATTAGTGAACATTGGAAATAAGTGACGAAAGGATCGATCCATAAAGTCCTAAAAATTTACAACATTTCTAAGGCGAATAGGGCCGCATATCGATATTGCAGATAAACTTCCCACAAAAGGAGTGTATAATAATAATCTTGGGTGCCCGGTAGGCTAGCTGGTAGTGTGCTAGCTGTCAGTCTGAGGGTTGTGGGTTCGATTTCCAGCAGAGATCCTGGTCTGCTACACTACAACGGTCGTATGGTTATCGTCACCCTGCTCGGTAAATTAGGTAAGAATATAATTTGTAATTGTATTGTAATGGAAAAATAAATAATACTCTTATGCTGAAAATAAAGGATCGATCCATAAAGGCCAGCATTTCGAAATTCAATTTATCTTTACAACATTTCTAAAGCAATCTGTATAGGGTCGCATATCGAAATTAACCTCAACTTGACATTTTTCCTAACCAAAAGTGAAAATATTTAACATAAAAAAAGATTCTCTTATGTGTTTGTTATAAGATGTGTTTGTATCACTATCCCATTCCTACGTATGTATATAGATTTTAGCGATAAATCGCTGACTTTTTAGAATAATATAAAAAATCTGAAAAATTTAGCTAGTTTTTTTAGCTATTTGTTTTCAGAATCATATAATAAATATTATTTTGACGATTTATCGCTAAATTTTTCAAAATGTCTTGAATTTAGCTATTTTCTAGCTATTTTTCAGTCGACTTTAGCGATATTTTTGGGAAAAAAGTTGGCAACAGTGCTGAGGTTGTGCTTTATGGTGGTAGAAATTTAAACGATATACAGTACTCACATATACATACATCCATTTCTAAAAGGTGAGAAGATTGTTATGTGAATTTTTGTTTTTGCATAAAGTATAAATTGTAAAAATCTCTTACTAAAACAAAAACGTGTAAACAGTACTTAATCAAAATTCAAATTTGTTTTCAATTTACGGATCACAAACTTTGACACTCAAAAGAAAATGTTTATAAAAATCAGTTAAGCAAAATGTTTTTTCTTCTAGATTCAAGTAGTGAAAGTTGCTCTTTTAAAAAATTTCGAAAATTACTTCTTTTTATAACAAATTTCGAAAATTCTTCCTTCGATACCCTTTACTTTCGTTAGAAGAATATTAATATCGAAGTGCTTTACGTGAACACCTTCTGTGTTGGGCAAATTCACGGTGGTCTTTTTCACCCACAGGGTGAGCTGTTGTGACGACTCACCAACGCCCATTTGTGTGTCTTACACGCTGGTGTCAATTTTTGTTTATGGTTCTGCCGGTCCATTTACAAGCACTTAAGCACTACTTAACTTCCGACATGTAAAAACATCACTTCCGTTTACAACAACGCAGATGTGATGGCCTCTGTTGAGTTGGCAACAGCACCTGGAGTCCGAAACACGAATCCATCAAATAAGCCGAGGACTTGATCTACTCACAGAGAACACATTGTGGTAAAACTGGTATAAACAGAGTTTTCCCTAAAGATACCTAGACAAGAAAGGAAAATTCGATGGTATCACGTTTCATTCATCACCATTCGACCCAGCACACTTCTCACTCATCCGATACATTCATAGAGAACAACATCCGACACACACAATCTAGATATACGTACAGGTAAGATTCGTAACACCAACTTATTTTCAACGCTTAGTCCCACAGTCATTCCTCTGTGGGGTATCTGTTGACTTCGGCAACAGCACCGAACTAATTCCGAATTATAGATTTCAACGCGCATTAGACCTTTAACCGACATTCTCTTCCTGCGAATTTGGTTTTAAACCACAGTCACAACGTAGATCCCGAAGGAACCTCAACCAACTAGCCTGCGGGCAACTGGCCACCCATAGTAGCATATGATGTGGTTTTCTGGTTCCACCCCATGTTAGATCATTCCAAGGAAAGGCCGAGTAAACATTTGATCATCACCAGTTTATAGTCCCGGCAGACTAGAGGTACTGGTAGCACCTCTTATCTTCGGGATTGCAATCACACCAAGAAGGGGTATTTCATCAAGGGTAACATTCCCCCGGGGGACCTGAGAAGAGTATACAGAGTCGATTAAGCCATGTCCGTCCGTCTATCTGTCTGTCCGTCCGCCTTTCCGTCTTTTTTCCTTTATGGAAAATTTTCACATTTTTTATAAAAAAGAGAAATTACTCTTTATAAAAAATGTTTAGATATTTTCGAAACTCTCTCTATAGAAAATATTTCCAATTTAAAAAAAAATCTCCTTAATTTTTTTTTAATTTTCTGTTTTCTGTAAATTTTTGAAACTTTCTTTTTATAGATATTTTTGAAATTTCTCGTTTTATAGAAAATTGTCACAAATTTCACTTTTTTACAGAAAAAATTTTCAAATTTGTTTTGTAGAACATGACCTTAACTTTCTCCTACTTTTTGAAATTTCTATTCTATTCTATTCTATTCTATTCTATTCTATTCTATTCTATTCTATTCTATTCTATTCTATTCTATTCTATTCTATTCTATTCTATTTTATTCTATTCTTTTCTATTCTATTCTATTCTATTTTATTCTATTCTATTCTATTCTTCTATTCTATTCTATTCTATTCTATTCTATTCTATTCTATTCTATTCTATTCTATTCTATTCTATTCTATTCTATTCTATTCTATCCTATTCTATTCTATTCTATTCTATAAAAAAATGTTCGAAACTTTTCTCATAAATTTCTGTTTTAAGAAAATTTTTGAAATTTGTTCTTTTTATATAAAGTTTTAAAACTTTCTCATCTTTATAGAAAATGGTTCTTTTTTATAAAAATTTTCGAAAATTTATCATTTGGAAATTTCTATTTTTAAAAATTTTTCCAATAATTTTTTTTCCAATTTCATTATTTCTGTAACCTAGCCTATATAGGCCATAATCGGTTATAAATTACTATTTATAAAAATATTTTCATTTCCATCAACAATTTTTGAAACTTTCTCCTATTCTATAAAAAATTTTAAACCTATTTCTATAGATGTTTGGATGTTTGTTCTTCTTTACTCTTGAAAATTTGTCTCTTTTTATGGAAGATTTAAAAAAAAAATTTCTTTTTAAGAAAAAAGTTAGAGGTAACTTTTCCATTCCATTGTGAAAATGTTTGTGAGTGTAACCATATATGAGTGGTATTCTCCTACTATGTATAACACCTAACGGTAATACTGGCGCCTTTGATTTAAATACAAACACAAAATCACCTACTTGTTCGTCTAAGAGTTCTAAAGACATATACGAATAAAAAATTTGGTTATTTTGTTATTTTTTTCAATTGAAACCAAACAAACCAATACCAAATGTATACAAACATACAGCTTTTTAGTGTCGTTTGCTTTTCCACCACACAGATTAATTTAAAAAAAATGGAAAAAAATATTGAACAGAAAGAAGAAATTTCCATTGGATAAAAAGAAAGAAATGTTTTTTAGTACATACTAGATTAAATGGTATTTTGGACACTGCAGGTAGTCCAGTCATCTATCCATCCATCCACAAACAAACAGTCAGTGAGTCCGCCCGTCCGCCATTCCGTCAAACAGCTTCTGCCACAGCTGCTCTGACTGGCTACAAATACTATATTAGAAGAAGAACTGGTTCTTGTTGCTAAATATTTTTTTTGCTATTTGTATATTCCACAAAAGATGCAAAGGTAAACATTGTATCAGTTGTGCTTTGGTTATGAACGGGAACAGTTTAAATGAGTTGTTGTGTGGTGTTGTGTCTCAAAAACGTATCGGAAAATTTATTTCGTTAGAGCAAAAAAAAAAAACACTTTCAATCATATTTGGCACATTGATTCTAATTCTGCAAGTAGCACAACATTGTTACAGTTATCTTTGATTCTTCTACAATGTGTTAAAATTTGTGGTATTGAAGTTTAAGAAAACACTCGGGCTTTGCCTTAAATTCTATTGTTTAACTACGAAATGTCCTTGACAATCCTTTACAGTGCACAAGAAAGAAAGAAATTGAAAAATAAGAATTTTAAAATAAAACTTAAACAAGAAATTGAATTTAGTCAAATTTAATTGAATTGAAAATATCGATTTACTATAATACACTGTTAAGAAAAAAGAGTGTGTATGTGTGTGTTTTATAAAATATTTGGCATTTATACATACCTATGTATGTAGTATAAGAGTTTTTTTTATATTTAAAAGTGTGAGTTTATGTGCCATTTATTAAAAATAAAATTGGCACCTGTTTTAAAAACAAAATAATAAAAAACCCAAATCCAATAACAAAAACACAGGCAAATAAAAGGATTATATATAAACAAAAATGTGTGTGAGTGTATTTGCGTTTAAAGGCTAGTAAATAACAAAGTTTATTGCAATATTTTACACCATTTCCAGTTTTTACATAATATAATTTATTGCTTAGTTAGTTAGTTAGTTAGTTAGTTAGTTACTTAGTTAAATAGTTACTCAGTCAGTCAGTCAGTTAGTTAGTTAGTTAGTTAGTTAATTAGTTAGTTAGTAAGTTAGATAGTTAGTTAGTTAGTTAGTTAGTTAGTTAGTTAGTTAGTTAGTTAGTTAGTTAGTTAGTTAGTAGTTAGTTAGTTAGTTAGTTAGTTAGTTAGTTAGTTAGTTAGTTAGTTAGTTAGTTAGTTAGTTAGTTAGTTAGTTAGTTAGTTAGTTAGTTAGTTAGTTAGTTAGTTAGTTAGTTAGTTAGTTAGTTAGTTAGTTAGTAGTTAGTTAGTTAGTTAGTTAGTTAGTTAGTTAGTTAGTTAGTTAGTTAGTTAGTTAGTTAGTTAGTTAGTTAGTTAGTTAGTTAGTTAGTTAGTTAGTTAGTAGTTAGTTAGTTAGTTAGTTAGTTAGTTAGTAGTTAGTTAGTTAGTAGTTAGTTAGTTAGTTAGTAGTAGTTAGTTAGTTAGTTAGTTAGTAGTTAGTTAGTTAGTTAGTTAGTTAGTTAGTTAGTTATTAGTTAGTTAGTTAGTTAGTTAGTTAGTTAGTTAGTTAGTTAGTAGTTAGTTAGTTAGTTAGTTAGTTAGTTAGTATTAGTTAGTTAGTTAGTTAGTTAGTTAGTTAGTTAGTTAGTTAGTTAGTTAGTTAGTTAGTTAGTTAGTTAGTTAGTTAGTTAGTTAGTTAGTTAGTTAGTTAGTTAGTTAGTTAGTTAGTTAGTTAGTTAGTTAACGATTGATAACACATCGAAATATTGCCCGTACACCAGATGTAGGCATAGAGCTCTCTCATAAGTTTTATTGATTTTACACGTACATTAACTAATACATGTTAAAAAAACAAACAAAGCCAGTCAGAGAGCTTATTCATTACTCTCTGCCTGTACTTGTTTTAGAGCAGGAGAGCTCTTTGCCTACCTATGTCGTAGACCCACATATGTGTGTTTATTTTGGGTCTGTCCGTCCGCCTGACTGATGAAAACACGATAGGAGGAAGGAGTAAAATGCCTACGTACTACTTCAAAAGACGGGTCGTTTAAGGTCATACAATTGTGGAATATCGGGAAAATTTTATATAAATCCGTAATTTGTAAATGGTTAGCCCATGTTTGAAACAATTTTTCATGCTTTTAGACAAAGTATTATCCATTGCGATCTGAATCTGTTTATGATCCGATTCAAAAGAACTTTATATGTATAGTAAATCAGCTTTATACTCTCTCTAATAGTTTACCAGGTCTTCGATTTTGAAAATAAAAAGTTCAAAATTGTTATTGTAGGGTTTTTAACTAATAACGGATGCAAATATTTCCGATTTTGGAACTAAAAAAGAATTGTTTAAAGAACATCGCCTAAATTATAGCCATTTTAAGTTTAACAATTATAAAAAGCAGATTTTTTGCGAAAAATGTACTTAGAGTTTAGTTCACACTTAGTTAAACTTTACAATTTCGTTAACGAGGGAACCGGGACCACATGCATCCATTAATCGACCCAAAAGATATCTACGTTTGGAATCTACGATAAATTTTTTACTACCTTATACATAACAAGATATCGAAGGTTTATAGAACACATTTTGTATGAAGTACTATATTATAAACCTTTGATAAATTGTTATGAATAAGTGATTGGTAACCATTTTGATTTATTTTCTGAGATTCCTATATAAAATAGCTAAATATATTTAAATTATAAATTAAGCATCTAAAAAGGAAATGGTGTAAATTAAAGCCATATTATCATTAACAGAGTGAAAATCAATAAAAATTTAACATGTGTTTTAGTGATTAATTAAAATATTATAAAAATAAATGTTTGAATATAAAATAAAAGAAATAAATAATTAATAAAAAATAAAAATTACCATAACAATTACGTTTAACAAGAGAAATCACTATAAAATTATAAAAATAAATACTATTAAACATTCCCTTTAAATCAATAAACCAATTTAAACAACTTTACACAGACAACAAAATGCCTCCTAACTTTGAAAATACCTCCGCCGCTATACCTTCACCAGCCACCACCCTTTATAATTACAACAATGCCACAACAAAAGAACAGGATTTATTTCAAGATTTCTACGAAATAAGCAGTTTAGTACGTGTAACTGTACCCTTATGTTTCGGAGTTATTGCTTTAACCGGCTTCTTTGGCAACATCTTAGTCATACTGGTCGTGTGTCTTAATAAACAAATGCATTCGACCACAAATTTATTAATTGTTAATTTAGCTGTAGCCGATTTGTTGTTTGTAATCTTTTGTATACCTTTTACCGCCGCCGATTATGTGGCCGATTCATGGCCTTTCGGTGACCTATGGTGTCGTACCGTACAGTATTTAATTGTGGTTGCTGCCTTTACAAGTATTTATACTTTGGTTCTAATGTCTATTGATCGTTTTTTGGCGGTGGTACATCCCATACGTTCACGTATGTTGCGTACCGAAAAAATTACCAAAATATGTATTGCAGCCATTTGGACGGTGATATTGCTAGTGTGTTTGCCAGTGGCTTTTACACATGGAGTTGTGGTAAGTTATTTTTTGCCCCCAGGCCTTTTTACGCTCCTGTTAATATTAAATTATACTCATTATTATCAACACCCTTGCATTAATTGCGGAAATTCATTCGTTTTATAAATTTTCGAAATTAATTTCATTAAACACATTTAAAAATAAATAAACACATTATTTATTATTAATTTATTACTTATTTGTTGGCTGAATAACTGAAAGAATAAGTGTACATATTATTATGTTGGCCTTCATGCCAGTTCATTCCACTTGACTCCAAATTATTTCAATTAAATTTATTAACATATTAAATAACTATTAATATTATTATATAAAAATAAGAAATATAAAATCATAGTAGATAGATAAATAAATATGTTTTAATGAAATCTTTAAATAATTTGTTATAGTTTTGTACATACAACATAATGAAATTCAGATATGTATATTATAATCCCTTTTATAAGCTCATATGTATGTATTTATGTGATTTTAATTCATACATATTCAATCAAAATTATTAAATATTAAAGACCAAATAGCAGTTATTATTTAGTAATTCAAAATATGTAGATTATTATTATCTGCAGGACTAGCTTTTTTAAAGAACTTTCTAGGAATTAATTTAAGATTTGGATTAAAGTATTTATTTGAATAATTTCGTAATAAAAGGATTTATTTATTAGTCTATGACATGGTGATGATGACCACAAACTCATTGCAGTGAAAACATGCCAAAGTTTTTGCTATGAATCGAACCCACTGCCTTCCGACTGATAGACAAGCACATCACCAAACTATCCTACCGACACACTCCATAATATATAAAGACTTTTCAAGTAATTGATTTAAAATCTTTAGCAATTTCAGATCAAATCAATTTGACAAAAAATAAAAAAATTGTTTCAAATTTTTTTATTCTTAATATTTAGAGTGCAACAAATAAACAAACGTGTCTCGAATAATAACAAATTCTAACGAAATTCAAAATTTAAACAATGCAAAAACCATACAACAAGAAAATTGCATTTTAATAAAACATTAAAGTATATATAATTATATACACAAGCTTCCATATATAGTATACCTAGTTCTTTTAAAAGTTTTTAGTCACTGTTCAAGAAAAAATAAGCTATTATTATGTTCTCTAAAACAGAGCAAACTTTATAATCTTAGGGACTCTTAGATCGGACCTAGAAGTAAGTACATATGCAAGTAGAATAATTTCCCGATAAAAACCTATCCGGCTGTCCATGAGCCTCATTTGAGGCCTCATTCCTCCTCATAAGTCCTCTTCTTAAAATGATATGATCGCCCAGAAATCACTTATATAAACACTATGAAATTCGTCATAAAAAACTTTTTTTATAAACATTAATGCTTTTTTAATTGGCCCTACCCCCTTATGAAAGACCGCCCATTTCCCTCAGAAATATTTATATGGATGTTAAAGGTCTTCTTGCAAAATATTAAGATTCTAACTCCCATATTTTCCCAGATAAACGAATTTTAGTATTTAATTCTATGGGAGGTAACACGCCCCCTATTGCAAGTCCGCCCATTTTTTGTCCTAAATATTTAAGTCGATACTAAAGTGGCTCCGAAAGATTTTCTTTATATGGGAGGTGCCACACCCGTTGAAGCTAGGCTGCTCATTTTATCAACGTGTGTTACTATGGATATCAAAGTTGTTCATACAAAATTTGATGACTCTAACTGTTGCAGTTTCTTAGATATGCGACTTTTAATACTATCCCCTACTTGAAATTCCAAAAACAAGAGTAGCCTATAGTTCCTTCCAGACATACCGGAAGACACTGTGAAAATTTCAAGAAAATCGGTTCAGCCGTTCACAATCATTTTTATATATATAGATATTATTTTAGGGTATCATATGTTCTACCAAGCCCGACTATAATTTCATAATTCTTTTGTCTAATAAGCGGTAATTCACACTGTATAAGAATAATCAATTTTTAACTAGTAAGAGGGTTTCGGCTATATCAAATCTTATATAAACACCATGGATCCTAAATTTGTAACACTCAGAAGGCAGCATAGGCTGGACATAGGCTTTTATTAATGTTATTTAAATATTACTAACATTTGCTTATTTATTAGACTTAGGCAGAATATTAATATGAATGATTTTCTAAAATTTGCCTTTAATGGGTCAACTATGAACTGAGCTATACAGTATTTAAAAGTATGATTACTTTCTGAGAAACAAATATTTTTTGTAGAATTTTAGCATATCTACTTTAAGTATATGATTTCTTGCCAATGATCTTATTTCCAGTAACATGGGAGGTATGATCAATTATGGACCGATTCCCATAAAATTTGGTTGTGTGATTTTCGATCTAACAAAACTTGATTGTGTCGAATGACATTTCTTGACCAGGTTTTAACCAGTTATGAACGTTAATGCCGTACTTAACGTTATATTTTCGAGGTACGTTATATCAAGCTTACATAATTATCATATTTATGAGTATTTAAAGAGTATGCCGGATGGAGTACCAAAAACTATTTTTCTTCCTGAAAAGGGTAAATTTTAGAAAAGTACCAGACTTATATCCATTTTTTTAAGAATAAATTTATGTGTTATTTGTCCATTTTAGAACGAACAACCACTCTAGTAGAAACTTCAAATAATGCAACAGAAGTGTCACATCAAACTTAAATATTATATTAAAACTGTCAATATTAAGGAAACTAATATTTATAAAGACTTATTATAACAGTGTATGTAGAAGTGTTATAGGAAATTATTAATAATTTTACTAAAACTTATAAAATTGTTATGTGTATATGGATGTAGGTGTGTGTGTGTGCAAGTGTTATATGTAGTTAGTATTAAAGTGGTATAAAATGTACTTAATGTCTGCTTTACGAGTATGTTTAACAAAACACAAGTATGTGCTTGTATGGGAAAGTGTTTAAACTTTCTATAAATACATTTTTTCTATATAATTTTTCTTTTTGCTTTGCACTCTCATTACAAGTAATAAGAATGTTTGTAAACACACACATACAAATACACATGATTTCAAAAACATTTATAAAATACACACTTGTTGTGTTATTGTTAGTTTAGTGCATAACTTGTAGCGACATATCCAACATTTATTCAGTTATACAACGTAGGGGCACCACAGACCCTCCCCAAAAAAGATTTATTATTACAATGTCTAATGATATTTTGAACACACTTTGTTGTAGTATTACAAATTGCCTACATACATACATGCATATGTTCATTTCAAGTAAGGTACATGTGTATCTATGTAGTATCTGCTAAAAGTACGTGTATATGTAGTACAACATATGTTATCTATTTTATAGTTTTAGGCCTATATAGTTTAACAATTTAAGATGTCACATTATTAGTGCGTTTCTAATACATTATAGTACTTTTAATAATATTTAACGATGTGTTAGAAATTAAAAGACACATAACCATAAAGTGTCTGCAATAAGTTTTTATACTATTTTAGTAGAACGTAAGGATCCAAAATATATAAATTTTAGAAACTACAAAATGATAAAAATCCCCACTGCAGAATGTATAAAAAAAACTCTCACCATAAACTATAAGTTAAATTGTTTTATTTTATAAATATTTTTTCTCTAATTTTATTTTAATTTTCTTGTTAATGTATTTATAAGCATTAGGTGTGAAAAATGTCTAGATTTTACTAATAGAAGGAAGGTATTTGGCAGCACAGCAAAAAAAAAACTTAAAAATTTTAAAACATTTCATAAACATATGACTACTACAAATTTGTTTACACATAGAAACAATTTTTTAAATTATTTATGTTAAAATTATTTAAATATTAAAAAAAATTTGTTTTCACTTTTAAAGTTTATTTAAATAGCAAACAGATCGCCTTAAGGCGTAATCCGAAAGAAACCAAAACTTTATAATGATACAACATGTGTCTGCTATTTTTTTTTATGAACCTATAATTCGATAAATATTTGTAAAAAGATTTTCCTTATGATTAGTAATTTTGCACAATTTAATTAAATTTAAATTTTTTTTATCAATAATTTACCAATATTTCCAATTAATTCGTTTGATGCTTGACTTATTTAACTAGTAGATATAACCTTCTAAATCTTTTTCCATCCTCTATTCTAATAAAATATTCTGGTTGGACGAGGTGGTCGCTGATTTGAAATGGCCATAAATTGTTGCGAATTTTGTTATTCATTTTAACTTTTTGCAATGTATTTACCTGGCGGGAGCCATACGTTAGTGTGGGTAGCCACATAATACGAAACAGATGTATGTGGGGAGAGTGGAACATGGGAGAGAGAGGGACGAGGGACAACAACTGAAAGCGAAAGTGGTTTGAAAGGAGGTAGGGGGAGTGGGAAGCGGAGAGGGGGGAGAGAAATGGGGGAATGCGAGCGAGCGAGCGAGCGAGCTGAGTGAGCGAGCGAAGCGATGGAGCGAGCAGGAGCGAGCGAGCCGAGCGTAGCGAGCAGGAGCGAGGCGAGGAGCGAGCGATGCGAGCGTAGGACGCGATGCGAAGCGAGCGAGCTAGCGAGCTAGCGAGCGAGCGAGCGAGGAGCGAGCGAGCGAGCGAGCGAGCGAGCGAGAGAGCGAGCGAGCGAGCGAGCGAGCGAGCGAGCGAGCGAGCGAGCGAGCGAGCGAGCGAGCGAGCGAGCGAGCGAGCGAGAGAGCGAGCGAGCGAGCGAGCGAGCGAGCGGGCGGGCGGCGAGCGAGCGAGCGAGCGAGCGAGCGAGCGAGCGAGCGAGCGAGAGAGAGAGAGCGAGCGAGCGAGGAGCGAGCGAGCGAGCGAGCGAGAGAGCGAGCGAGGCGAGCGAGCGAGCGAGCAAGCGAGCGAGCGAGCGAGCGAGAGAGCGAGCGAGCGAGCGAGAGAGCGAGCGAGCGAGCGAGCGAGCGAGCGAGCGAGCGAGCGAGCGAGCGAGCGAGCGACCGAGCGAGCGAGCGAGCGAGCGAGCGAGCGAGCGAGCGAGCGAGCGAGAGCGAGCGAGAGCGAGGAGCGAGCGAGCGAGCGATCGAGATAGCGAGAGAGCTCGATCTAGCGAGAGATCGATCTATCTATGCGATCTATATCTATCTATCTGATCTATCTATCTATATATCTATCTAGTCTATCTATCTATCTATATCTATCTATCTATCTATCTATCTATCTATCTATCTATCTATCTATCTATCTATCTATCTATCTATCTATATCTATCTATTCCGTATTCTGATTCAAATAACACCTTTTAATTAAACACCATGTTGTTTTCATCTACTCAATCAAATAGTGATTGTCTAAATGGACACATCAGTTTAATGTTTTTCAATTTTACGCTTTTTTACATTCTTTATAACACTCAAACACATGCATCTGCTGCCTCTCTGGAAAAGCTGCAACAGGAATATTTTTCTATCTTTATAGAAAAATAAAACAAATTTCACAAAAAATTTAAAATTATTAACAATACCGTTTGTATATAATTTTATATCACATTTTTTGTACTATTTTCCACAAATATCATGCTGTTTTATTTTTATGATGCTCCTCGGTAGTTTTTTGGAACATGATGGGGCTGAGCAGCAAACGAAAGTATTTATAAAATATTGGCAATCTAAAGCAGCAACGGATTGTGTTAAATTGTTTTTGTATTGTTTTGTTTTTATTTGTTTTGCCCACAGACAGACATATATAATAAAGTCGTAAAAATTGTTGGAAATATTATTTTTACGATTTTTTGAATAAACATTACTTTACGTACAATAAACATTAATTATATACATGTACATATGTACGTATGTATGTCTAAATAAAAACAATATAAAATGTGAACGAATAATAACAATAACAAAACAAAATGTATGTGTAAATATTTTTCATAATTTTTTTCAATATAAATATACGTTAATAATTTTACACTTTCCAACGCATTGCAATGTTGCAATTATATGATGAGCATTATTTACAATAGATTTTATGTTTTATTTTGCAATTGAAAGTAGGCACTTAGTAGAAAACAAAATGTATTTGGGCAGCGTGCACATTTATAAATATAACAATTTTGGGATTATGCACAATGGGGAGTTTTAATATAGAACTATATGTAACCAAAATAAACAATTTCTTGTTAAGTAAGCTAGAGCAATATTATTTACCTAAATTTTTATTTTATTTTAAACTGGAAATTATAAACAATTTAAAATCCATTCCATTGTATTGTACATTCTAATATAATTTTCATTAACATTGATTTAATTAACTAATTGATGTAGAATTAAATTGAATTACTTGATTTTCGTGCAAATCCTTTTTCACACTTTACAATTTTTATACCATTTCAATTGCAGAAGACCGATGATGATGATCCAGATTTCCCCGAATTCGAAGTGTGTCAATTTATACCAAATGATTTTATAGGACTCCGAACGTATCAAATAATATTTTTTACCAGCTCGTATTTACTCCCTCTAATGGTCATTAGTGGTTTGTATATGCGTATGATAACTCGTTTGTGGCGACAAGGCAGTGGTGTTCGCATGTCTGTCGAATCACAGAGAGGACGTAAACGTGTGACACGTCTGGTTGTCGTTGTTGTGATTGCATTTGCATCATTATGGTTGCCAGTACAGGTGAGAGTTTTGCTAAAACATTGTTATGATGAAGATTTTTTGTTTTGTTATTTAATTTGAAAATTCTGCATCAGAGTGTATGGGTGTGTTGAAGATGTGATGAGTGTTTGTGTGTAAATATTTGACAACGGCACCGTTAGAGGTATACAGTAGACACATGTACGAATAGAACAACCTAGACGACAAACTGACTGAAAGACAATATGAGAAAGTGATGATATTGTTACTAGCTTTGGGTTGGATTTTAAAGTTTTCGTATTTGTTGTTTGAATTTTCCATTTTCCCAACATGGGATATTGCAATGTTACAATGTATGTTTGCATTTTGTTACAGTTATTGTTAGTTGATGTGAATGGCTAGAAGTTGATTCAACATACTAGTTACTAATGCCTTGTTTTGCAATCAATGCACAATGGGTGGTATAAATAAACATTTCTAAATTAAAATGTCTATAGTCTAGACTATATTCCAGTTTATAGTCTAGTTTATATTCTAGTCTATAATCTAGTCTATAATCTAGTCTATAGTCTAGTCTATAGTCTAGTCTATACTCTAGTCTGTAGTCTAGTCTATAGTCTAGTCTATATTCTAGTCTATATTCTAGTCTATAGTCTAGTCTATAGTCTAGTCTATAGTCTAGTCTATAGTCTAGTCTATAGTCTAGTCTATAGTCTAGTCTATAGTCTAGTCTATAGTCTAGTCTATAGTCTAGTCTATAGTCTAGTCTAGTCTATAGTCTAGTCTATAGTCTAGTCTATAGTCTAGTCTATAGTCTAGTCTATAGTCTAGTCTATAGTCTAGTCTATAGTCTAGTCTATAGTCTAGTCTATAGTCTAGTCTATAGTCTAGTCTATAGTCTAGTCTATAGTCTAGTCTATAGTATAGTCTATAGTCTAGTCTATAGTCTAGTCTATAGTCTAGTCTATAGTCTAGTCTATAGTCTAGTCTATAGTCTAGTCTATAGTCTAGTCTATAGTCTAGTCTATAGTCTAGTCTATAGTCTAGTCTATAGTCTAGTCTATAGTCTAGTCTATAGTCTAGTCTATAGTCTAGTCTATAGTCTAGTCTATAGTCTAGTCTATAGTCTAGTCTATAGTCTAGTCTATAGTCTAGTCTATAGTCTAGTCTATAGTCTAGTCTATAGTCTAGTCTATAGTCTAGTCTATAGTCTAGTCTATAGTCTAGTCTATAGTCTAGTCTATAGTCTAGTCTATAGTCTAGTCTATAGTCTAGTCTATAGTCTAGTCTATAGTCTAGTCTATAGTCTAGTCTATAGTCTAGTCTATAGTCTAGTCTATAGTCTAGTCTATAGTCTAGTCTATAGTCTAGTCTATAGTCTAGTCTATAGTCTAGTCTATAGTCTAGTCTATAGTCTAGTCTATAGTCTAGTCTATAGTCTAGTCTATAGTCTAGTCTATAGTCTAGTCTATAGTCTAGTCTATAGTCTAGTCTATAGTCTAGTCTATAGTCTAGTCTATAGTCTAGTCTATAGTCTAGTCTATAGTCTAGTCTATAGTCTAGTCTATAGTCTAGTCTATAGACTAGTCTATAGACTAGTCTATAGTCAAGTTTATAGTCTAGTCTATAGTCTCTATAGTCAAGTCTATAGTCTAGTCTATAGTCTAGTCTATAGTCTAGTCTATAGTCTAGTCTATAGTCTAGTCTATAGTCTAGTCTCTAGTCTAGTCTATAGTCTAGTCTATAGTCTAGTCTATAGTCTAGTCTATAGTCTAGTCTATAGTCTAGTCTATAGTCTAGTCTATAGTCTAGTCTAGTCTATAGTCTAGTCTATAGTCTAGTCTACAGTCTAGTCTATAGTCTAGTCTATAGTCTAGTCTATAGTCTAGTCTATAGTCTAGTCTATATTCCATTTTATAGTCTAGTTTGTAGTATAGTCTATTCTATATTCTATAGTCTAGTAGACTTTTAATTTTCTGTTACTGTTTTCTTGACATTTCAATTCTCATAAATTTTTTCTACTTTACTCTCCCATTGTGCAATGTACGTGTTTGCACATTCTCTTCATCTATATACAGAGATTGTATTTAATATTTAACTAATGGAATCTTACATTTTTGCAGCTAATTCTACTGTTAAAAGCCCTCTATATATACCATGCCGATACCAAGTTTACCGTGATTTTACAAGTTGTCGCACAAACACTGGCATACGCGAGTTCCTGCATAAATCCGGTACTCTATGCATTTTTATCGGATAATTTTCGTAAAGCATTTCATAAGGTAAGTGAAATTTAATCTAAACTCAAATATACAACATCATTTTCTGTGCATTGGGGAGATTATTTATTAATTTTTCATTGAAATTTTCTCTCATACGTAACCAACAACAAACTGGAAAAAAATAAAGAATTTTTTAAAGTTCATTAAACTTGCATTAGTTTGTCTTGTTGTCTTGATGATACATACATATGTATGTTTGTGTGTATGTATATTTTTATTAGTTTTTCATCGCTATAGTGTGGGGGAGAATACGATGTTGTTGCTTTTAATATTAGCATTATTTAAATGCATTTAATTGTTTATCTTAGAGCAGAAATAATTAAGCAAATGTTTTAGGAATATTTTTTGCAAAATGCACATGTGTATGTTTATGCCTCAAATATTTACATTGTGCGTTTTCTGTCGAATACAATTAGCTGTTAAACGATTTTTAACATGCCTTTTATTCGTATGTTTTTTTGTTGCGCTTTAAATTTATTTCTTGACTGCTCTGTCTGTCTGTCTGGCCGTACCGTTTATCTTGTCTAAATATGGCCAGGTAAATATTTATTATTAATTTTAACTTTTTTCGCCCATATTGTGTAAATATTTATGAACAAACAAAGACTGGGATCAATAAAACTTGAGTCTTTAAAAAGTTCCCTTTTTGCAGAAAACTAGCTGACACGGTCCACTTTGCATTTGGCCTATATTTATCTTTGTTGTCTAAAGATCTAAAAAAAATTATCTATTATTTCTCTTTATTTAAATATCGAAATTTTCTCATTTGTAGAATTATAGAAAAATTAATTATTTTTTATAGACAATTTTTGAAAATTTATTTTTTTAAAAAAATTTCTAAATATTCTCTTTTTTTAAATCTTTCAAAATTTATAGAAATTTATTTTTTTTTTATAACAAAATTTTCTTTCACTTCTTTAACAGAAAAAATTGTTTCCAGAAATTTTTCGATAATTATACATTTCTTTAGAAAATTCAAAATTTTTCGAAAATTTTAAGCATTTTACAAAAAATTTCAAACAATTCTTCTCAGTCCTCTAAAACGTATTGTTTATTTTTGTTGCATTTTTTAATTATATTATGCATTCCTTTTTTTCGTTAAATATAGATTTTTATTTACACTCATTTATCATTTGCACTTATCTCTACTCTACTTATTTTTAAATTATTGTTTTCTTAAACTTCTTGGAAATTTGTTACATTTCATTATTTCTTTCATTTAATGGTCATTTCTAGCAAAAATTACTTTTAATGTTTTTTTATTATATTGTTTTTATTTTGCAAACATTTGTACTAATTTGTACACAAAACAAACAAAAACAAAAAATTGCGCGTTTTATTATAACATCAACATTTTGTTTGTTTAGATGGAAAAATTATTTAAAAAATAATTTAATGACGATTGGAAAGTGTGAAAAACATACTAAATGATCACTACACATTGATGATGGTGTTTATAAAATTTCAGTTAACACTGTTAGTGATTAAAAAACAAAACGTATTAAACTAGGGGGTTTCTAGAGAAAAATTTTTCCATACAATTTTTATAAAATTATTTCAAAATTTTGTTTAATTAATTAAAAGTTTAGATTATATCAAGATAAGTTAACGTTCTTATTGTATTGCATTTTAATCCATTACTGCATAATTAAAGAAACTACATATTTATAAAAAAAAGTAATTCATATAATTGTTTTGTTTAATTTCTATTTAACCCTAAACTTTCATAATATAATTTAATTAAGCACTCTTGATTATTAAAATTAATTTGTAACCAATAACTTACAATTCATATGTTTTGTTTATTGTTTACTTTGTATGTATTTGTTGACTTTTCAAGACCTTATAATTGCTAAAATGTACTAACTTTATATACCTACCGATGACCTAATACAACATTAACCAAATAATATTGACATGTATGTGAAGTCTTTAAATATGAGTTTTTATGTAAATTATTTTAAACATTTTTGGCAAACAATATTTAAGGAAAATATTTTAATTAAACTTTTTGATAATCAAAAAATTAATTATTTAATATTATGGAAAATTTGGTTAAACACTTTCTATATTGCGTTTAGATAAATCTATTAAATCAAATTTATTTTAATATAAACAAAGTAAATAAATTACATACTTATGATGATACATATGTATGTGAAATTTCTATATGTCATACAGTACATATGTCTCCAAAAGTGAAAATAATTAAATATTTGATACGGCTATTAAGATTAAGGACATAACTTAAAATTATGGAATTATTAAATCTTTTCCACTTTTGATATTTATATTTCAGGTTAGATCTTTAGAAGTAAAACGATATTTTGAAATATATATTTTAAATTTTATTGAAATTTTTTATAAATATCTAATGTGTAGCCTGTTATACTCGTAGATACCTATTTTTAAATATTACAGGCCTTAGTTGGAGATTAATTATTATTTGATTTACTTATCATTTTTTAATCTCAATTAAATTCTAAATACATTATGGCTTTTTTTGTAAGGAGAACCATATCCAATAGTCGCTATCTCTAATTTTCATGACAATGAGATTTTGATGGCAAGATATTCAACAAACGATCATACATGCACGATATAAATTTCAAAGATAGATAGATAGATAGATAGATAGATAGATAGATAGATAGATAGATAGATAGATAGATAGATAGATAGATAGATAGATAGATAGATAGATAGATAGATAGATAGATAGATAGATAGATAGATAGATAGATAGATAGATAGATAGATAGATAGATAGATAGATAGATAGATAGATAGATAGATAGATAGATAGATAGATAGATAGATAGATAGATAGATAGATAGATAGATAGATAGATAGATAGATAGATAGATAGATAGATAGAAGATAGATAGATAGATAGATAGATAGATAGATAGATAGATAGATAGATAGATAGATAGATAGATAGATAGATAGATAGATAGATAGATAGATAGATAGATAGATAGATAGATAGATAGATAGATAGATAGGTAGATTGATAGGTAGATAGATAGATAGATCGATTACAAATAAGGTGTTTAGTTTTGTTTTTGGAAAAAAGCTTATAAGGATACGTCCACCGCGTCCATTATAAGTTTTAACAAAAAAGTAATTTTTAATCCTTAAGTTTTTCAGTCACATAAATTTATATTATATAGCATACTTTAAAGCATTATTAAGAAAAAGTTAAATTTGAATCAATCTACAATTTTTAAATTTTTTAAAGTGGATTCCTCATAGTCGTATATTGATAGTTATTTTTAATAATCATTAAAACTTTCGACATTATTATTTATAAATATTTTTGTTGCATTATTTTTTTCAGCTTTGTTTTTTAACATAAATCTAAACTAATCTAAACAATATGAAAATTTTAACAATAAATAAATGATAATTGCATAAAAAATATTGAAACTAAAAATAACCTCAATTTAAACATAATTTTGTTATTATTGCTTAAAAAAACAAAACAAAAAAATAATAAACAAAATAAATAAATAGATATATTACACTCGAATTTAAAGCGTCAGTATGGAGGGATAGCAGGCCGTTAGACAGAACCGACAGGCGTAGAAATATAACCTATTAAAAGTACATTTTTATGGGATTAAATGTTTATGAATTTCAATGTTTTTTTTTTTTTTTTTGCTAATAAAACAAATATACAATATTATGTTTGTATTTATACTAAGTAGAACAGCGTTGTGAACATTTGTAAATACTAGAGTTCGCCCAGCGGTCGAAATTCGACCAGAACCAATGCTGGAAAAATTGTATGAATGTGTAAAATAAAACCATATTTTCGTAGTTCAAATCTGTGGTAAAAAATAACTTTATTGATATTATCAAAGTGTATAATTTGCTTTGATTAATGTTTTCTTTTAGAAAATGTGATGGGTTTTAGTAAAAGTCCCATCAGAAGTTTAAAACCTCAATTGTTAAAATTAGGTATACAACTTGTTTTACAAAAGTATTTCAACTATTTTAAAAATAAAAAATAACGAACATTTCTTCTATCGAGTTATTATCCCCTACATATTTACGCTACGTTCACAATGCTGGAGTACTCTACTGTACACACCAGTAAAGAAATGTTAGCTGTTCAAAATACTTAGTGGAAATGTTCTAAATAATTTGTCAAAACAATAAAAATATTTAAAATAAATAATGTCTTATCTAATTATAAATAAATTTTATTTGGATGTCATTAGTAGTCAATCCATCAGGTATATGCTGTTTACAGCATATACCATCCATCAGGTATATGCTGTTTAAATTCTCCCTTATAACACTCGACAAAGACTTCAGCAGACCTACATTTATTAAATTTTAATGTCTTCTAATAGAATTTAAAAGTAGATATTCTATGAGGTCTTCTAATGGGCCTTCTATTAGCCTTCATATAGGAGCGCATAACGATATGCATTGGCATATCCAATTACACACTGATTTTGTATATGCATAAGAAGAATTTAACGCCTTAATTTTTCATATATTTTGTAAGTACTGTTTGAAAGAAAACATTAATTAACTATAAATTTCAGTCTTTTGCTAATATATGCAAGTTTAATAGCAAGTAAATGAATAATAAACGTAAATAAGTACGGTTAAACACTCTTCATCCCAAAAGACATGATTTATATTTAGCAGTTTCATCTAGCAGTTTTATCTATTTTTATAAAGCATATAACCATCACCTATTCAACTTACAGTTTTCACTTTACACTACTATTTCCTAATTGGTTAGAATAACCCAAAAACGAAAAATATCATCAAATCCTCCCTGTGCTAAACCTGCATATAAGCGATATACATATCCATTTATTGCGGTATGTACCGGCATGACCAACTAAACTTTACTTATATTTTTTACAGGCTTTTTTTATTACTTACTGACACTGAATCAATTCATTAATCCATCATTTAAATCTTCAAAATCAATCAAAACTAATAATTATGTACCACAATTCAGTATTTTATT